TGTTAAAAGTTCTTGTTATAATTCACAAATAAAAGTTTTTTTAAAGAGCGCCGCCCCCGATTGAGCGCCGCCCCCGAATGAGCGCCGCATCTGAAGCTCTGAAAATTTAAAGAGCGCCGCGGCGCTCAAACGAGCAAATACGGTAATGAAGCTTAATGAGTTTTATCATCTCATTATCTATTGTCTTAATTGCATTCGACGCGACCAAAATTTGACGTATAAAACGGGCCTAAAACTCAATAATGTCACATACACGAAAACGCAGAGTTGCTATTTACCATAGGAGAGGTGAGTGAGGAAGGTTTAATGTGGAACACTCAACACTAACACCATGAAACAAATAAATGATATACTTGTCTAAGAAGGTTGAAGTCGGCAGGATACTATTGTGATAGTACCGATACCAGATGGAGAAAACACTAATGTTGTACAACACTTCCTAACGCTCGCAATAGCAGCTTTTGGGGTAAATACTAGTCAGCAGGAAATAGAAATTAGAAGCCGATTTTGAATGACATTTGCATATTTTTCAATTTGAAAAAGCGATAATTCACATTATTTTGAGGAAGATGTGAAAAGTTGAAATTTTACCCGCAACTCTGCAAAACGAAGCTCTATCGGCAAAGTTTCCGGAAGGGTGCTTTCTAGGCTATGTGTTCTGAACTTACATGATCTCCAGATACATCAAACTCAGAAAATATTGTCCTCATTGCCTCTCCTTGCAAATTAAAAAGAAATCCAAATTTTTCAAATTCATAGCACGAAATATTCCCACTAGCATCCTCGTCCAGTAAATCAAATACAGTTCTTGAATGGCGGTAAATGAAATGTTTCTCGTCCTTGTCCTGTACTGCAATCAAGATACACACTAACAAATAAAATTCGTCGAAATCCAACGTCCCTGAACAGTCGACATCTAACATATCAAACACTTTGTAAATCTGTGACTTGGTCAAGTCAGTTGAACAACTCATGAATGCAAAGAATTGAACATCGTTTAATTGTAACTCTCGGTGAATGTCTAAACATTTGAATAACTCGAGAATGACATGAATACTTCGACCTGGAATGCAATAAGAGAATTGAGTGAAGCGAGTATGTCATTGGGGATGACCGATAAACAATGGATATCTATATGAATAATTCGAATTATTATTTATTTAAAAGAATTGAGGATTTTGACAAAAAAGTTATAGAAGAACGTTTTTCATATCAGCATGCACTGTCGCCACTGATAAGGCGTTTAATGCCAATAAACTTAACCTAGAGACAAGAATATAAGTTCTTACCACTTAACAAGCAGTACGTTTTATCCAAATGTAAATATTTAAAGACTTTTGATGTAATTTTCATTATTTGAAGAAGGGATTACTCTTCAATATAATTAATGTATATATCATCATCTTTGTGACGTCAGTAATTAGAAATGCGCGCGAGCCTGCGTAATAGCATCACAAGATACACGAATTATAAGAATCCCCTCGTGCAATAAACCACCTTAATTAAACTCTCTTCTAGCCATTTCGTACCGTTATACTCGGGACATTATTGTGGAAACCAGTTTTCTTCATAATTCGTTTCCCAAGTGTTCCGTCGCAGAGGAAATATCGTTTCCTTGTTTGTCCGCTTTCTAAAAACATGGCTAGGAAACAATGTTTACACAACAATGTCTTCACAACAATGTCTTCACAGTTTTCCCTGAGCTTTATAAAAGGACACGAACTGAGCGACTGGGACAAGGATCATTTGACAGCCAAAAATGTCACACGCGAATTGAGAAATTAACTGAGGATGGCGCATTAATATTTTTAGTGCAGCCTGCGAGCAAATGCATAGCTTCAAAATGTTTTATTTATTTTTATAAGACTGATATAGTCTTGAAGTGTTCTATACAAGGCGGCAGTGATTACCTTCAGTTGGTTCATAATTATTTCGGGAGAAAAAAGAATGACAACCATTTTTCGAATCTGTTTATAAGATTCCTCTATATGTTCAAGCTAGTTTGTCTGGATAATTCCTGAGTTGTACGTGATATAAATATATATGTAGAACGTATCCTCTGCATGTCGAACAGATAATCCATCTTTGGTAAAAAATCGGTGTACTACAATACACCCTTCCGAAAAGTACTCAACCTTGGCTATAGAGACTCGTTTACGTGACTGCATGAGATATAGGCTTTGGAGCCATTCATATTGTTACTGCGTGTAGATGACTTAATTATATAAAGATCTTTTCGATAATATATTGTAACTGAGTGATTTCGTAAATGTGTCACCTGCAGCAGGATAAAAGACTCTAAATCCATGAGGGGGGCCCCCAACCATGCAATAGGGAGCGGAGCTTAAGATACACCAAATCTACGACTCGGACGTGACGAAAAATTGCCGCTATCAGGGGCGAAAACTTTTAAAACTAGAGTCTCTGAAATGCTATTTCATACACTTTAGGAGGAGATTGACAGAGTTCTAAAGGTAACAAAATGTCATAAAATATCTCAAATTGTTTTGTCTACACGCATAACTGAAATAATATCAATTAAATTTATTGTTAAAAAGTGTGTAAGGGCAAAGAAATTTAGGCCCCCCAACTAAAAATGTGCCCCTCCCCCCGCTTCCGACGCCCCTGGCCGCTATTATCACAGTTTCACTTCACGGGTAAAAACTATGAATTACTAAGTAAAACTAGTCTCCAATTATTAGCGACTGTTTTTTAGTCGCGTCTGCATCACAGATTTGGTGCATCTTAAGCTCCCTAATGTCTCACGAAAACGGGACTGTATATGGCCAAGACTGAACACTTTCCAGAAAGGAGTTCTAAGACACGAGTTCAATTTATTGCCAAGTACATATAAGAGTTACGTTTATTCTAGACCTAGGGTTCGAACGCAGATTTGGTTAAACCCATAGGTATAAGACGTATAATAAGCTTTTTTAAACGGGAAATTTACTTCTACAAATTGTGTGCTTGAAATTTCATTTTCGAGCGTTTGAAAATAACAAGCCACGAAGGAACATACAATTCTTGTCTGCCTTTGTTACTTTCTATGGCTTTGCTTATTTTAATTCCACTTAAACTGATCAAAACTAGTTTGCTAATATTGAAACATTACATGGTGTCGCATGCAGTATTAATAAATTCATATTGCCTTAAATTCATAAGAGGATATAAATTGTTTTAACTGCAATATCAAATGTTTACTCGACAATGTTAAAACTGAATTTTTATAAACTGTGTCTGTGAAAAGATGTACCAGTGGACTATACAGCGCTTACATACATTTGAGACATGCGAGCTTTGTAATATTTAGGCAAATAAATTATTGGTCGTGTTTGCCTAATAAAGTTTTTGGCAGGTTATTATTGCTAAGGCTTTTATTTCAATCAGCTTTTATCAGATGTCACCGCAGGTGGTAAGCCTATATTTGAGACAGAGAAGAAAAACGCCTAATTTCAAAACGTGTTCTTGCTTTCAGATTATTTTGCGGGTATTTTTGCTAAAAGATCAATAAAACAACGGTCAGAAATGGAGGTATTGTTGTTTAAATTAAAACCGTCTTAAAATGCCGATCTCGCAAGCTGGCAAGGAGAATTGTAATTAATGTGCATTTATTAGTTGTCAAGGCAGGCTACATTCTCCGCGACATGTTATTTCATTAATATTTAATACGTTGAAAATTTGAAGACAGTTTTTCTGACGGTCGTATGCGATGGGGCAGCGATGGAAAGATAAAGGTATCGACTTATTTTAGCAAACAAAAGATTCTGGTCTTTTCTGAAGGTAATTCCGAAAATAGAGATGCTTTATCTGACATTGATTAGGGAAAATTAAATGTGCCATTTGTTCAGAAGCTTTCGAAATAATTTCCATATATTTTCGTCTTAAAATAACAAAAAAAATTGTCGGTATAATTAGTATATGTGACTTATAATGGCACGAATCTTTCTGATTGTAGAATTTAACGTTGTGAGAAGTTGAGTCTAGAACGTTTGGATAAGATTGAAGGTATATTAAGTAATCCGTTCTTATCTGCACTTTACTCTTTCTATAGCGATGCATGGAAATGTAAAGTGCTTCAAGTGTCGCGATTGGTGAAACATTCGTAATAAACTTACGATGGCATAAACTTCTATGTTAACATGAACTTTTTGTTAATTGTTATAGATCTTCAGTGCTGATTTGTGAGCCGTGAACGTGCTATACTACTTCAGGCCATGGAGAAGTATATAACTCACTATGTTCTGTTGATCGCCGTTGCTGCAGTATTTGCTACACAGCAAGGAGCAGCGGAAGGTATTTCGTACAAATCTAACACATATTTTATATCTCTGAGATCAGTATTTATTTAAAATATTTAGATGATTTGTACTGTTCCCGTATAGTGGCGAATCTAATTAATTTTGTCATGAAATTTTCGATCTTTGAAATATGTGCCTAAGTAAAACTTTCATCATTAATTATTCAAACATTATGGAGCGCCTGTTTCTATGCCGCTCCGATACTTATAATATTTTGAGGATTAACGGTCATGACGCCGTTATAATTCGCGTTTTTGTTTTGAGACATATTGTATCAATCTATCCTCTTGAAACGAACAATATACCTTTCGTGATAAGAGCATTTTAAACTTAGGGCATCGTAGTTTATTGAGATGAGTTAGGGTTAGAATCAATATCAATACTACTACGGGTATATTGATTTTATATTGTCCCAAAAGACATCGATAATGTAGTAATTTTTAACAGTGGTGGACACTTCGCGAAATGTTTGGGAGGGGGGGGGGGCGAATTTGTTACCATCATCTTCTCTTGCTGCGAATTGCGTTTCTTTAAACTTTCCCCCGCTTAATTCCACGCAAATTTGCTTAATTCATAGCCTACAAATGCTTCCATGGTTGTAAAATATAATTGTAACAACTTTAAAGTTACGCAGTTATTTAGGGTTTCGGAAATTATTGGGGGCGATTGCCCCCTGGCCCGCCCCTAGTGCCACTGTTTTATCTTGCACGAACTGTATTCGTGAAATACAAGGTTACCGGCTAAATTAACTACAACATTTTTGTAGTTCGCTACAACCGCTATACATGTAAGAATTAAATGTTCGTTACTGACTACATGCAGCCTGCACTATTTCAAGAATGTAGCAATCTCTTCTCTATATCGCTAGAGCAAAATATATGTTGCTATCCACATTAGATTAAAAATGTGGATATTGTAATATTATGTTCTTATAACTATACTACTTCCAGTTTTTGTAACTATACTACTTCCAGTTTTTATAACTATACTACTTCCAGTTTTTGTAACTATACTACTTCCAGTTTTTATAACTATACCACTTCCAGTTTTTGTAACTATACTACTTCCAGTTTTTGTAACTATACTACTTCCAGTGGCCATGGCATGAAATAGAGAATACATGGGTGCGCGGAAATACCAGATTTATTTCGAGTGTTGAACATGATATCTCACGAGTGAGCGCAGCGAACGAGTGAAATATCATGTTCAACACGAGAAATAAATCTGGTATTTCCAAGCACCCATGTATTTTTCTGTTTATTATATAAAGGACAGTCTTTGAAAAGCGATATTTTTTTTACAGAAAAGCGATAATTGAAAAGCGATAATTTTCACATGTGAGATTATCATGAATAATCTCACATGTGAGATTATCACTTTTATGAGTGCTCGAAATCTCTATAAAGCACTATACTTTAATATATAATAAGAAACGTTATTGACCTGTAAACTGTAAAGGCTGTACGGCTTTCCAACCATATCGTCACGTAGCGTAGTCCGTTTACAACTACCTGAAAAATACAAGGAGAACTTCGCCAAGGAGAACTTCTCATTTTTCAGGTGGTTGCAAAATCCCTATATCAGTCCGAAGTTTCCTTGTATATTAGTACGGGACTAAACACAACATTATCTAAACTCGTTAACATACTGTACTGGGAATCCGTCCATAAACAAAAAAAGATAGTCTGCATGTCTGGTAATTCAACTGTGTATATTAATCACTTTCACTGACATTAAAACGTATATGGGGCAAGCAGACGAATCATCCATGAAGTCAAATGATCTGGAAAGTCAAATTATCTGTCCAATTCTGACGTAGTCTTGAAGGGTAGTCCGTCTTTGTGTTATTATGCAACCTGAGCTCAGACGATATAGGAGAACTCACTGGCTATAGGTAATTACTTATAAAACAAAGATTGGGAGACTGAATGCTGACAATCCAAGTGAGCTAGTGAGGTTTTTTGCATGCGTGGACAAAAAGGACGAAAAACATTTGCACGCACGCGCCTTGGCAGTGATATTTGATGTGACATTATATTCTACTGGTCGAAATTCGAAAAGTGTAGCGA